AGGGGGGAGGGAGGAGGGTGCTGCCGGGGGCATGCTGGAGATGGGGGAAGGAGGTATAGGGGGTGAGCTGGATGAAGACATGGAGGAGGAGGATTTACCGGCGGTTTTTGCTGAAGACGTGCTCGGGGTGGGAGCTGTCGGAGACGGCGTGGAGGTAGTTGAGGAGTGTGTGGTGCCCATGATGTTGTCAATGCTAAACCCGGTCTTTGCTGGCGCCGGGGTGTGGTGGCTGGACACTGTGTGTGCCAGTGATGATGATATGGTTGATGTCGGGGGAGAAGGGGAGGGGGCGGGGGAGGGAGAGCGACGGGGGGATGTCGGGGGAGATGAAGACGACGAGGGGAGGGAGGTTTTGTGGTTGTCAGATTTGACAGCCGAGGAATCCGGCATGTCGCATTTCTCTAGTTGGCGAATCTGACTGTTGGGGTTGCGGTGATGTGGCAATGGGGCTAGGGACGCTGGGGGGAGGGACGGGATTCCTACATGGCCGAGAGGGAGGTGGAAATGTGGAGGGGCGGAGGGGTGGTGAGCGTGCTGGTGGTGAGCTCTGGCAGCGTATTCACTCTGTATCATGGAGAGCGGGTGAGACAGACCGGGGGGCAGGTACGGGTAGCCCATGGGTCCGGCGTTAGCGGGGTGGGGCGGGAACATGCCCGGGTGGGGGGCGTGGGGGTTGAGGAAGCCGTGGTGGTGGAAGTAGGAGTCAGCGGCAGACATAAAGGCCGGACCTTGCCCCATGATGTCCAGTGGGGATGACCGCTTGTAGCGCTTGCGACGCCGGAGGAAACTCCCGTTGTCAAACATGTCCTCACTGGCCGGGTCCAGCGTCCAGTAGTTCCCTTTTCCGGGATTGCCTGGTTCACGCGGGATTTTCACGAAGCAGTCGTTCAGACTAAGGTTATGACGTATGCTGTTTTGCCAGGCAGGAAATTTTTCCCTGAAATACGGAAACCTGTTCATGATGAATTCGCAGATGCCCGATAGCGTCAAGCGTTTTCTCGGAGACTGCAGGATTGACATAGTGATGAGAGCTATGTAGGAATATGGCGGCTTGACCAGACTAGATTTCTTTTTCACAGACCCGTTGTTATTGTTATGACCCCCATCAGCACCGTCGCTATCTGCAGTTTTTTCAAACTTAATATCAGTATCATTGTCATCACTGTTATTGTCAATATCTTTACATTGCATGCCGTCGTCATCGTTATCACAAATCTTATCGTCGATGTCGTCGAGGTCATAATGGGAGAAGCTCAGGTCTTTCTTGTCCTGCTCATCACAATCGTCATCACTGGCCAGCGAGTGGCGCGGAGAGCGGGTCACGTGGTGTCCTAGCGGAGAGGGGGGCGGGGAATCCACCTGGAGGTATTCATCCTCCTCCCCCTCCCCTTCCCCCTCCTCATTCAGTTTCTCACCCTTCTCCATATTATCACGAGGTGTTGGGAATCTGTGGTTGTGTCCGCCAAGCGGCGACTGAAAGCTGTACCCTTCTGAAGCGTCATCGGTTGTCGTGTTGTTCGGGGACGGCGATGTCCTGTCTGTTTTACAATCTGACGTTTCCTGAGGAGATGAAAAATTGTCAATGTTGTTTGCCTGCTGAAGCTTCTGTTGCTGTTGCTGGTGTTGTCCTTCTTCTTTCGCAGAGGAGGGCCGGTTGTCGTCAGACGAGCAGGGCGGGGAGCCGCGGTGGGATTTGTTCTCTCCCGGGGAGAGGGCTGGGCCGTCTACTGACTGTCTTCTCGCCGGGAAGTCGTCTCTGCGGCTCTGCTGACCCTGAGCCGCAGACATTTGCCGGATGTACTCGCTGTACTGATCAGACTGCTCCGCGAAGTACGGGAGGTGGCTCTGCTTTCCTGCGTTACTTCCCGTAACGAAAGCAGGTGGAGGATACGATCGCAGACTTCCCTGAAGCAACCGATCTCTGGGTAAATGTGAAAAACCGGATTGTAATGTATGAAATCCGGATAAACCTTGAAAACCGACTAACGAAGTAGAGTCTGAAGGTAGTGAAGTTGAGGCTGATGATGATAAAGGAGACAACGACGTGCCAGACGAGGACACGCCCATAGGGACGGAGGCGGCGCCAGCAGACGACAAGATGGCGGGCAGCTTCCCACCAGAACTCATCATGGGGAAGAGAGGGGGTTGGTGCGGGCTGGACAGGTAATGGCCCTGGGGCAGGCCGGGAGTCGGGGGGTACGTCACGGACAAATTCATCACGTCATAGCGCATCGCCACTCACTGCAAGCAACCTGCGCGGACAGAAAGGAGACATCGTTAGTCAGAGTCAGAGGGGTGTTGTACATACTTTCTTTTCTGTTCGAGGGTGCCATTTTTGTTTGTTGTTGGGTTTTTTGTTTTACCTGGGCACTGGGTTAATCATTT